CAGATTTGTGGTGTGAGGAAGAGCAATGCTCTAAGATGCAGAGTTGAGACTTCAGATTCCAGCTGCTGGCACTGGAGCTGTGAAGCCGGTTTTGAGACAGGGCTGTTGTCTCCCTAGAAGACCCCTCCAGGCCTGTCTGTGGTGCTCGTGGGCAGGAGACAACGATCTGGGCTCAGCATTTGGAAGTTCTATGTACACGCTGGTATCTGTTGGGGGTGTCTTGGGCCTCTGAGAAGGGCGAGTGATTTTTCCCCGTGTGAAAACGCAGTGATCCAACTGTGTGTATGTCACCTCCTGAGGGTCTTGTTCATCAGAGTCCTGGAGAGAGGGAAATGTTGAGTGAGGGAGGGGCTCACATTCTTCAGGACTAGTAGGGAATAAGACTATATCCATGAGGCTGGGGAGAGGAGGACCTACCTCCCTGTTGACTGTTCTGTCCCCCGCAGGCTCTGGGTTCATTACAGCAGCATCTGTAGGAGACGGAAGTCATCAAAATAGCTGGGAGGGCACTTCTGGGTCATCATTTCATGAGCAGAGCCCAACACACAGCGGGAGGTCGTAGGTTTCTGAGGTCCCTCAGCAGCCAACAGCCAGACTCAGACATTCTATCTCTCTGAGCTGAAGGACCCATCCCATGAAGAGCTGTCAGTTCCCATCCCAGTGATTCTGCCTCCCACTTTCTGCCTGTCATGGAACCTTCTCCTGGATGTCAGTGGCTGCAGGGACATGAGGATACAGTTCAGAATCTGGCAATGGTCTGTGAGCTGAAGGCAGGGGCAGGGTGTCTGATGCTCTCTCTAGAAAGCTCTACCTCTGTGGCTCCTGCCTTGGGCCCGAGACCATCCTGCTGGTGAGAAACACACACCTGCGTGCTTCCATCCCTCCTCATCCTTCCTCCCTACATGGCCCTGAGGTCTCTGGCCTCTGGTTTTGAGACTTACTCTTTTTGTCGGAGCACCAGCAACGAAGGAGAAAGAAGAGGAGGATGGTGAGGACGATGGTGGCCACCGAGTACCTAATCACAGCAGGCAGGTGTCTGACGATACCTGGAGGAAGATGGGAATCCAATGAGAAGCTCACTATAGCAGTTCCTCTTTGTGGATTGTCTCTCATTTCTTGGTTGCCAGGCAACCCCATAAAACATCTCTTTAGGACAAGCACCCACGTGGTAGGAGGCCCAGCTTTCTCCTGCTTTCTCAGTTATAGTTTTCGTAATAACTACAGAATGTGCTGATGAGACACCTGCTATCGTATGGATATTTGACCCCCCCAAACTTCACTCTGAAATTTAACCCTGAGTGTGGGTGGTGGTGCCTATGGGGACGTGTTTGGGTCATGGGGGTGGATCCATCATAAATAGATTAATGTTCCCCCACACGACAGGGTTAGCAATTCTCCCTTTCTTAGTACTCTGGAGACTCGGTTCTTAAAAAGAGCTTGGAAGCTCCATCACATCCCCTTTCTCCCTGTCTTGCCGTGTGATCTCGGTGGTCTCTGCACATGCAAGCCCCCTTCTCTTCTACCAGAGTAGGAGCAGCCTGAGGCCACAGCCAGAAATAGATGCTGGTGTCCTGCCTCTAGTACACCTTGCAGAACCGTGAGCCAACCAAATCTGTTTTCTTTAGAAGTTACCCAGGCTCAAGTGTTGTTTTATAGTCACAAAAAGGGACTAAGACAGCAACGTCCTGAGATCAGGAGGAACGTCCCAGAACAGCCTGGGCTGTCTTCCTGTTCTTCCCAGAGGAGGACGTCATGCAGTGCTTTAGTTCAGTGCTTCCTGTGGCTCCAGGGTACAAAACCCAGGCTGGGCTGCTTTCTGGGTTCCCCCAGCTGCAGTGCAAATGGGGTGACTCCATATGTCCCGAGCAGCTTTTCTGAGCCTTGGGGGACTGGCTCACATTGAAATGTAGGCTTCTGTTGTCAGTTGCTGCTTATGTGTTAGTAATGAACCCACCTTATGTAATGTATTCTCTGTGTGTTTTGTTTCCCTGGAGTGACAGTGAGTGACAGAAATTGGCATAGCCCCAGGTGCAGTACAGGAGGTGTTTAGAGTCTTCTCTGGGAAGACTGGACTGGGATTGATACTCAGTGAATGTGCTTTACAATTTCTACGGCCACAACCCTCTTGACTCAAACACATTACATTCGACAAGAAAAGGCATAACGTGAAATCAAGATCAAAACAGTGAAGTAGAACTGTCATATATCAAACAGCCAGGAAATAATGATGAAGCTCGTGAAGAACGTGCTACTTTTTGTGATCTCGGGAGTCGTATATTAGTCTCTGTTCTACCTGAGAGTCCGGAGGAAGGACAACCCCCTCCATCATCTATTGCTTCGGTACAACCCGTCCTTCTGTGAATTCGTACAAAAGGTGACCAGGAGATGGTGCTGATGCTGGTCTCTGAGTCCAATATCTGAACTCCAAAGAATATTAGTTTTTACCTTCCTACGGTCTATCTGTGTCTCTTAATGTGATAGGAAGTAGAGGTGAGGTGGGGGATTTGGGTGAGGGGGCAAGTTTTATGCCATGAACAGAGATTCCAATAGAATCCCAAGGGCTTTAAAAGATGAGGAAGAAGGCAGAGCAACATTCAGAGAAAGAGGTGTGGTGAGGAAGAAGGATCTGACTGATGTCATGTGAGAGATGTGACCAGCCTTTGTGGGCTTTGAGGAAGGAAGATGGGGACCAGAAACCAAGGAATGTGGGAGCCTCTAGGAGCTTGGAAAAGTGAGGAAGCAGATTCTTGCCTGGAACCTTCAGAGGGAAGTCAGCCTTGACGTCACCTTGATTTTAGCCCAGTGAGATGACGCATTTCATAATTCTGAGCTACAGCACCGTGAGATATTTTTTAAAAATGTGGCTTCCATCCACGAAGCCTGTGGAAATTTGTTATGGCAACATAGGAAAAGGGTCCACACTGCGCAGCCTGAGCATGGAGCAGTGGCTGAGCCAGTAAGTGGAAGTGTCATGTGCGTGGATGAACTCCGTTCTCTCTTACTGCAAGGCTCTTGCTCTGCTAAGTCAACCAAGGTTGGATCATGACAGATAGGAGCTCATTCCTTGGCAAGCAGAACTTCTCTACAAACACCCCACCCTCAAAAATGTTTCCCTTCCTTCCCCCTCTCAAGCCCCCAGGCATTTGTCCTTTGGTTAGGAATGCAGGCAGAACAAACACCACATTTATCCCGAGAAGAACGTCTGATTTGCACTCATCCTTCTACCCTGAGGTCTCAGCAACAGAAAATCAGAGGTTAAGAGATTTCACTGAGCCCTGTGCTGGGCTCAGATCCCTTTCACTGTTGGAGTGTCTGGGGTTCAGAGACAGCGGAAGACAGGCCCACAATCACAGAGCTGGGAGGTGCTGAGCCAATGCTTGAATCCAAGGCTTTGACCTCCCTGGGTTTTCAAAAGCAGAGGTAAGAGGGATCCTTCACTTACCAGTTTTGAAGCTTGGTTCAGTGGGTGAAGGCCAACTACTTGAAGGGTTTCCTAGAACATGGGACAGGAGAGAGGTGTGGAAATAAGGATGCCTGTGTTCTACTGAAAGGACATCTTTGAGGTTGGTTCCTGGCCAACATTCTGTTATCTAATATTGGGCCCTGGGAGTCTTGGCATCCCCTTCTCCATAATCATTGTACGTGATGCCCACTATCTTGAGACTTTAAGGTATAAGGAGAAAACAGGAGTATCACACTACCTGACTTAAAAATATGTTACAGAGCGGTAGTAAACAAAACAGTATGACATTGGCATAAAGAAAAGCACATAAAACAATGGAGCAGAATGAAGAACACAGATGTAATCCACCTATTTACATCCAATGGACTTTGAGAAAGGTTCCAAGAATCTACAATCTGGAAAGAACAGTGGTTTCAATAAATGATGCAGGGAAAACTGGATAGCTACATGCAGAGGGATGAAACTGCACCTCTACCTCTCACCATATACAAAAATCAAATGAAAATGGGTTAACAACTTAAGGCCTGAACCCATTAAACATCTAAAAGGAAACACTGGGGAAATTCTCCAGGACATTTGTCTGAGGGAAAACATTTTGTTTAAACCTCAAAAACACAAGTAATCAGAACACAAAAACATAGACCATTGGGATTATATCAAACTAAGCAGCTTCTGCACTGCAAAGGAACCAACCAACAAAGTGAAGAAGAGACAACCCATGGAATGGGAGCAAATATTTGCAAACTATGCATCTGAGAGGGGATTAAGAACTAGAATATAAAAGAAGCTCAAACACCTCAACAAAATTAATAATTTAATTATAAAATTAGTAAAAGACCTGAACAGACATTTCTCAATGAACAAAACATACAAATGAATATTGCATATATGAAAAGTGCTCAGTATCACTAATTATCAGAGAAATGCAAATGAAATCACAATGAGCTATCATTGCACCCCATTACAATGGCTTTTATCTCAAAGACAGACAAAACAAATGCTGACAAGGTGGTGGAGAAACGAGAACCCTGATACACTGTTGACAGGGATATAAATTAGTGCGGCCTTTACAGAGGAGAAGAATATGGAAGTTCCTCAAAAAATAAAAAGAGGTTGGGTGCTGCAGCTCACCCTTGTAATCCCAGCACCTTGGGAGGCTGAAGTGGGCGGATCACTGGAGGCCAGGAGTTCGAGACCAGCCTGGCCAACATGGTGAAAATCCATATCTACTAAAAATAGAAAAATTAGCCAGGTGTGGTGGTAGGTGCCAGTAATCCAACTACTCAGGAGGCTGAGGCAGGAGAATCACTTGAATCCTGGAGGTAGAGGTTGCAGTGAGCCCAGATGATGATGCCATTACACCCCAGCCTGGGCAACAAGAGTGAAACTTCATGTCAAAAAAACAAAAAGCATAAAACAAAACCTAAAAAGAGAATTCCAGAGGATCTAGCAATTCCACTAGTGGGTGTAAATGCAAAGAAAAGGACTTCATGTATCAAAGTGACATCTGCACTCCCATGACTGTTCTAGCACCATTCACAGTAGCCAAGATGTGGAGTCAACCTACCTGCCCATCAGTGGGTGAATGGATAGAGAGAATGTAGTACATACACACAGTGGAGACTACTAATCCATACAGACAATAACATACTGACATTTGCAGCCACATGGGTGGAACTGGAGGTCATTACAAGGATTGCCATTTCTCACTAACCTGCAGGATGTAAAAGGTGAAGCTCATGAAGGTAGAGAGTAGAATGGTGGATGCCAGAGGTTAGGAAGGAAAAGATGGAGGGTAACAAAAAAAAGAATATAAATTTATTTATTTATCTATTTAGAGACAGAGTCTCTGTGTGTCACCAGGTTGCAGTGCAGTGGCATGATCTCGGCTCACTGCAACCTCTGCCTCCTGGGCTTAAGCAGTTCTCCTGCCTCAGCCTCCCAAGTAGCTGGGATTACAGGCACGTGGCACTATGCCTGGCTAATTTTTTTTCATCTTTTTAGTGAAGATGGGTTTCCCCCATGTTGGCCAGGGTGGTCTCCAGCCCCTGATTTTGAATGATCTACCTGCCTTGGCCTCTCAAATTGCTGAGATTACAGGTGTAAGCCACTGCACCCGGCCTATATAGGTATTTATGACCCCTAGATTTTACACTTAAAAATGGTAACGTTGGTAAATTATACAGGTATATTTAACCTCAATCAGCATTTTTTCAAATGAAAAGAAAAGGGTGTAAGGGTTGCTGGTGATGACATCTCTGTGTGGGTGAGAGGCCAGGATGGGCTTCTGGGAAATGGGTAAGGTTGAGGGGCTGAGGGAACCTCTGATCTCCCCAAACTGTGCCCAGTCTCCCCTCCTCTGGGTCTGTCCTGACCAGTTTCTCCATCTGCCTGGGTGCCTGGAGCCCTGACCGCAGGCCTCCATGCAGGCAGTGCGGGAGGGTTTGATGTGCTGTGTCTGCCCTCCTGTGCCCTGACCCCAACCTCACACCGAGGCTTTGTCTTCTCTCTGCATCTGTCCATCCCTCTCTCCATCATCAGCAGGAAGCTCCCCAGCTGTGGCTCTGGGATCATAAGACATGGGACAGGCATGGGGTTTCCTCACCTGTGACAGAAACAGGCAATGGGTCACTCGGGTCTGACCACTCATAGGGAGAGTCACGGAGAGAGCCGAAGCATCTGTAGTTCCCTCCGTGGGTGGCAGGGCCCAGAGGGAAGTCAGCCTGGAATGTTCCATTGACGCTTGGCACTGCAGGGAGCCTAAGTTCATGGGCCTCTCCCTCCCTGGATAGATGGTACATGTCAAAGGAGCGCCGGGAACTGCAGGACAAGGTCACGTTCTCTCCTGTGGGAACCGTGGGGCCCGGCTGGGCTGAGAGAGAAGGTTTCTCATATAGACCTGGAAGGAGAAGAGGCAGTTTCCTCAGGGAGGTTCTTCCTTGTCACAGCTTCCCTCACACCTGAGCTGAGAACTCACTCCCCTGCTCTATGACCTAATGCTCTCTCTCTCTCTCTCCCTCCACCCCGACTCTCCCTGTCGTTCCCTCCCTATGTGGCTCCAGCCTGGTGGTGGCATCAGCAGTGCACCGTTGCTGATCTCGGGGTAGCCAACCCGCTTGTTTGGCTTTTAAACTTGTCCTTGACCAGGGTTCCTGTGTTGGTTTCCTGTTGCTGCTATAGAAAATTATCACAAACATGGCGGCAGGAGAGAACACACCGACCCCTTCCACTTCTGGAGAACAGAAATTGGATCCAGTTCTTCCTGGGCTAAAATCAAGGCATCTACAGAACTGTGTTCCCTCTGGAGACTCAGGGGAGGATCAGTTCCCTTGACTTCTCCAGCCCCTATAGGCCTCCTGCCTTTGTGACTCATGACCTTCCTCCACCTTCAAAGCCCACAGGGGCTGATGGAGTCTCCCATGATGCTGCTGTAATCCCCACTCCCATCTTCCTCCTCCTGTTATGATGACCCTTGTGATTCCACTGAACCCAGCGGGACAGTCCAGGCCGTCTCCCCATCTCAAGGTCAACTCATCAACAACCTGAGCTCCATCTTCCCCTTCAGTCCCCTGCCCTATAGCATAAAGAGTCACAGGGTCCACGGATTACAATGTGGCCATCAGTGGGGACAGTTATTCTTCCCACCACAGCACCCATTCCCCTGTATTCAATCCCCCTTTACCCCAAATACAGTCAGGGCCTGGATGATGGGACCCTTACGGACACCCCCAGCAGAAGCTCTGGGATTCAGGAGGTGGGACAAGGAGAAGCCCAGACAGGAGCCCTCTGACCTGTGACCATGATCACCAGGGGGTTGCTGGGTGCCGACCACTCAGTGGGGGAGTGCGGATGAAAAACTCGACATCTGTAGGTCCCTGCATGTGCTGCAGTCACAGGGCTAATGAGGAAACTGTTCCAGAATATTCTTTTGTAGAGCTCAGGGACAGGCACTCCGTCTTCCTTGTACAGCGTGAAGATGTTAAACCCAGGACGATAGTGACACCAAAGAGTCACGTGTCCTCCCTGAGGCACCACAGCGCTGGGCCAGGCAGAGCAGAAGGGTTTGTTCTGACCACCTGGGGGAGATGGAGGTGCCGCCTTAGAGAGGAGGATGTGGGGCCGGTCTTCCCTCCCTGTGTGCAGAGGATTTTTCCCCTTTCCATGTTTCTAAGGCTCCTACCACACCTGGGTGTCCAGGGCTACAGGAAGAACCTATCCAGCATGGGCATGGCGTCTCCCTACAACAAAAGTATGGGCTGAAAACTCTGAGCAGGTGCTGAGTACGGAACTCTTACTAGATTTTAATACTGCAAGATTAGTTACACCAAACAACACAAAGTAGACATGCGGCGGAGGGTACGATCTTTGTGAATGGAATATCAGCTAATGCCTGAACCATAATGAACAACTGAGCCCCATCAGAGGGATTGGAATGTCAGGGTCATGACTGTGGTTCCCCCACCTCTTCTGGTAGAATGACAACAGCCACACTGCAGCCCCGACCATCATGGAAACACTGGAGGGAGTGATTTACCCTCTTGTCCTCAGAGGACCTGCTGTTCCTAGCGCTGCTTCCCTTCCCTCCTCTGCCAGTGACACCATATACCTTCCCCCGACACCCCAGCTTTGAGCGCCCAAGTCTCCCCCTGGGCCACACAGAGCTAGACTCAGCCACAGGGAAGAACAGCTGGGGAGGGATAAAACAGAACTCAGGGCCGAGCATCCCAGGGTCTCCTCTTCCTAGTTCACGAGAGATTTCCCCCCAGGCTTTCCCATGGTCAGTCCATCAGTCGCGCTCTGTGCTGCCTGCCTCCCTTCTCAGGAAAATTCACTTGTATTGGTGGGGATGGCAACCTATCATTTGGGAAGGACTCACCCACGTGTGCCCACACCCTCTGGTCCAAGAAGAACCCTGCAAAGAAAGATCATGATGAACTATTCATGTCTGCGCCAACCTGCCTTTTCCTCCCAGCCATTGGACGCCTCGCTGGGCTGAACGTTCACTCAGCCTCACCACCCGCTTGCTCCAGAACACGGCTCCCTGTTGGGAGACCCCGAATCTGCAGGCCCGTAGTGTAACCCTGGTGCTCCTTCCCTTCCAGGACTCACCAAGACAGGCCAGGATGACGACCGTGAGCGACATGGACTTGGTGCAACTTCTGCTGCCAGGACGCAGTGACTCCGCTTGACTGACCGGTGCAGAGGATGTGGTGAGGAGCCTGGATCATGAAGTTGACACATTGACCACAACATGCGAAGGGGACACAGGTAGGCTTCTTGTACGTCATATGAGGTTCTAGTGGGAGTCCGGTCAAGGGAGGAATGTGGCTCTCTGAAAACTGCAGACTAGACTTGTCACTTCCCATCATGCATGATGGCCAGACTCAAAGCACATCTCAGAGCCACTTACCCCAGCCCAGGAAGATTGAACTGTGCACTCACATGAAGAACTTTCGTTGTAATCTTTTCTTGTTTGTTTGTTTTTCTCTGCGATTGAAACTCTCCTTCAGGTGCAATATGCAAAATACCTAATAGGTCTTATTATCATTATTGAGCAATTGTATTAAATAAATCATCATAATTTTCCATGCTGGTATTTCTACTATTAAACCAGAAACAGATAAAATGATTTAAATCTCAGTAGAAAGACTGTGCAGTTATTTAGCATCATAGATTTCCATCTCATTAGCAAAAACACAACATGTCGACTGAGGATCTTGTCGTTTTATCTAGAGTTTGTCTTATGACCCAAGACTTTAAACTCACGGTTTCCTGTCTCTTTCTCTCTCTCTTTGGCTTTGCGCTTTTCTGCTCTCTATATTGCTTGTGTGTCTTTCTTTCTCTCTCTGACTCGAAGAAAAAATACCAGAGTGATAACATCCTCCAACTTTGATACCGGAACACTGCAGTAACTGAAGGTTCAAATCTACTCATTGACTGTGCTGTCAGTCTTGCAAAAGTCTCTTACTTACACCTGCCTTTCTAGAGTTTGTGAGAACTTTTTCACTATGTATTGTAAATTTGTAAAACTCCAAATTTTTAAAAAACGATGGCCTCTCTGTTTTTCCCAGGGTGGCCTCTACTCATTTTGTAAGGCTGACATCACCCTGATACTAATGACAGAAAAGAACATTAAAAAAAGAAAACTACAGGCCAATATTCCTGATGAACGCAGGTGCAAAAATCCGCAGAAAATACGAACCAACTGAATCCCGCAGCACATCAGAAAGCTAATCCACCATGATCAAGTCGACTTGATTCTTAGGATGCAAGGTTGGTTGAACATACACAAATCAATACATGTGACTCATCACCTAAACAAAACTAAAGACAAAAACCACATGATCTTCTCAATACATGTAGAGCATGCTTTTTACTCAGCATTTCTTCATGTTAAAAGCCGTGAACAAGCTAAGCATTGAAGAAACATACCTCAATATAATATGTGCCACCTATGACAAACCCACATCCAACATCACACGGAATGAGTAAAAGATGGAAGGAGTTCCTTTTATAAGTGAAACAAGACAAGAATGCCCACTCTCACCATCCTATTCAACATAGTACCTGAAGTCCTAGACAGAGCAATGAGGAAAAAGAAAGAATAATAAGGCATCCAAGTTAGACGACAGTAGTAGGGAGAGGTAGTCAAATTATCTCTGTTTGAAGATGATATAATTTCTATACCTGGAAACCCCAAAGTCTTTGCCCAAAGGCTCCTGCATCTGAGAAACGAACTTCAGCACACTTTAAGGGTAGAAAGTCAGTGTACAGGCCTGGTCCTCATGCCTGTAATCCCGAAGGGGTGGCCCGCCCCTCCACACCTGTGGGCGTTTCTCGTTAGGTGGAACGAGAGACTTGAGAAAACAAATGAGACACAGAGACAAAGTATAGAGAAAGAAAAAGTGGGCCCAGGGGACCGGCGCTCAGCTTACAGGGGACCCAGGCCGGCACCGGTCTCTGAGTTCCCTTAGTATTTATTGATAATTATCTTTACCATCTTAGAAAAAAGGGAAGTGGCAGGATAATAGGATCATTGTAGGGAGAAGGTCAGCAGTAAGACATATGAATAAAGAACTCTGTGTCATGAATAAGTTTAAGGAAAAGTGCTGTGCCTCGATATGCATATGTAAACATCTCCATAAACCTTTTTAGTGCATAAAGAGCAGCATTGCGCTAGCAAGTACCACGTTTCACCCTAAGGCGGTTTTCTCCTTTCTCAGTAAACAGAACATACAATCGGGTTTTATACCGAGATGTTTCATTGCCCAGGGACGGGCAGGAGACAGATGCTTTTCTCTATCTCAACCGCCAACAACCGCCAAGAGGCCTTCTTTCCTCTAGTACTAGTCCTCCTCAGTACAGACCCTTCACGGGTGTCAGGCTGGGGGACGATCAGGTCTTTCCCATCCCACCAGGCCATATTTCAGACTGTCACATGGGGAGAAACCTTGGACAATACCTAGCTTTCCTAGGCAGAGGTCCCTGGGACCTTTGGCAGTGTGTGTGTCCCTGGGTACTTGAGATTAAGAGAATGGTGATGACTTTTAACCAGCAAGCTGCCTTCAGGTACTTGTTTAACAAAGCACACCCTACACAGCCCAAAATCCTTTAAACCTTGAGTCACCACAGCACATGTCTCTTGCAAGGACAAGGTTGGGGGTAGGGTCACAGATTAACAGCATCTCAAATACAGAACAAAATGGAGTCTCTTATGTCTACTTCTTTCTATATAGACACAGTAACAGTCTGATTTTTCTTTCTTTTCCCCACATAATCCCAGCATTTTGGGAGGCCGAAGAGGTTGGATCACCTGAGATCAGGAGTTCGAGACCAGCCTGGCTAACATGGAGAAACCCTGTCTCTAATAAAAATACCAAAATTAGCCTGGCATGGTGGCACGCACCTGTAGTCCCAGCTACTTGGGAGGTTGAGTCAGGAGAACTGCTCGAACCTGGGAGGAGGAGGTTGCAGTGAGCTGAGATTGCACCACTGCACTCCAGCTTGGGCAACAAGAGCGAAACGCCATCTCAAAAAAAAAAAAATTTAATCTATGAGGAGAAAGGTATTTGTGGTGTACATTGTGATGTTTTTATATAGGTACACGTTGTGGAATGGATGAAATAACCTCTTTATCATATTTATTTTCTCACATACTTGTTGTATGTTTTGTGTGTGTGGTGAGAACACTTAAAATCTAATCTCTTAGTAATGTTCAATACGCCACATGTTGTGATTAACTGGAGTCCTCAAGACATACAATAGATCTCTTGACCTGATTTCTTCTAACTGAAATTTTGCATCCTTTGACCAACAACTCTTCAATCCCTCTCCTCCCCAGGTTCTTTTGACAACCATTTTACTGTTTCTCTGGGTTCCACTTCTTGCACTCCACATATGAGATCTTGGGGCATTTGTCTTTCTATGTGTGGATTGTTTCCCTTGACATAATGTCCTGTAAGTTTATTCACATTGTCACAAATGACAGGACTTTCTTCTTTGTTGTAGAGGTTGTATAGTACTTCATTACATTCTTATTGTATACCACATTTTCTTTGTCCATGCCCCCATAGATGGGCATTAAAGTTGATTCCACATCTTGACTGTTATGAATAATGCCGCTGTAAACATGGGAATGCAGATATCTCTTCAATGTACTGATTCCACTTCCTTTGGATACATGGACAGTAGTGGGATTGCAGAAACATGGGAATTCTATGTTTAATTTTTTCAGGAACTTCCAGACTGTTTTCCATAATGGTTGTACTAATTTACATTCCCATCAACTGCATACAAATGTTCCCTTTTCTCCACATCCTCATTAACCCTTGTTATTTTTTATGTTTCTGATAATGGACTTTTTTTTTTTTTGACACAGTCTTACTCTGTCACCCAGGCTGGAGTGCAGTGGCAGAATCTTGGCCCACTGCAACCTTTGCCTCCTGGGTTCTAGAGATTCCCCTGCCTCAGTCTCCAGAGTAGCTGTGACTACAGGTGTGCACCACCAAACCCTGCTAACTTTTGCATTTTTAGTAGAGATGAGATTTCGCCATATTGGCCAGGCTGGTTTCGAACTGCTGACCTCAGGTTATCTCCCTGCCTCGGCCTCCCAAAGTGCCTGAATTACAGGCATGAGCCACCGTGCCCAGACCATTAATGGTCATTCTAAGAGGTGTGAGGTGATATCTCATTCTAGTTTTAATTTTTATTTAGCTGATGCTAATCATTTTTTTGTATAGCTTTTGGTGATTTGTCTTATTCTTAGAAATGTCTATTCAGATACTTTGCCTATTTTTTAATTGGGTTATTTGATTTCTTATCATTGAGTTGTTTGAGTTTCTTATATATTTTGGATATTAATTCCTTATTAGATGTATGCATGCAAATATATTCTCACATTCCATAGGTTGTCTTTTTGCTTGTTGAGTTTTTTTTTTTTTCTTTGCAGAAACTTTCAGTTTGATATAATTTCATTTGTCTACTTTTGCTTGTGTTGCCTGGGCCTTTGGGATAATATCCAAATAGGTTTTGTCCAAGCTAGTGGAGTTTTCCCTTGATTTCTTTTAGTAGTTTTTTGTTTTTTAGATGGAATCTTACTCTGTTGCCCAGGCTGGAGTGCAGTGGTGTGATCTCGGCTCACTGAAACCTCTACCTCCTTGGTTCAAGTGATTCTCCTGTCTCAGCCTCCTGAGCTGCTGAGATTACAGGCACCCACAACCACACCCAGCTACTTTTTGTATTTTTAGTAGAGACGGGATTTCACCATGTTGGCTGGGCTGGTCTTGGAATCCTGACCTTAGGTGATCCGCCCACCTTGGCCTCCCAAATTGCTGGGATTATGGTCTTTCATCTTACATTTAAGTCATTAATCTATCTTGAGTTGACTTTGTATGTTTTGTGAGATAAGTATCTGCTTCCATTCTTCTTCATGTGGACACGAAGTCTCCTAACCGTATTTATTAAAGAGGCTGTTCCTTCTCCATTGTGTATTCTTGACAACATCCCCAAAATTGTTTGACCCTAAATGCATGCATTTTTTTTCCTGTGCTATGAATCACTTCCATTGGTCTATGTGTCTGTTTTTATGCAAGTACTATGTTGTTTTAATTACTGTAACTTTGTATTGTAGTTTGCGTTTAGGTAATGTGATGCTTCCAACTTTGATCCTTTCCCTCTAGATGGCTTTGGTTATTTGAGGTCTTTTTTGGTTCCACATGAATTTTAGGATTGTTTTTTCTACTTCTGTTAAAAAAAGTCATTGGATTTTTGATAATGGTTGCATTGAATCACTTTGGATAGAATGGACATTTTAACAGCATTAATTCTTCTAATCTGTGAACATGGAATATCTTTCAATTTATTTGTTTTTTCTTGAGTTTTTTCATCAATGTTTTATAATTTTTTATATACAGATCTTTGTACTCTGTGGATGAATTTATTCCTGCATGTTTTGTTTTCTGTAATTATTGTAAATGGGCTTATTTTCTTGGGAAATTTTTTGGATAGTTTGTTGTTAGTGTGTGGAAACTCTGTTGTTGTTGTTGTTGTTGTTGTTGTTGTTTTTGATGATACCCATCCTAAGGGGTATGAAGTGGCATCTGGTGTAGCTTTGGTTTGTATTTTCCTAATGATTCATGATGTTGAGTATCTTTTCATGTGTATGTTCTTTGGAGAAATGTCTGTTTAAGTTCTTTGCCCATTTTTGAATTGAGTTTATTGTGATCGAGTTTTAGGAGTTCTGTGTATATTGTGGATGTTAATCCCTTACAGGTGATATGATTTGAAAACATTTTCTCCCATTCTGTGGGTTGTCTTTTTACTTTGATAATATTGTCTTAAATGTGTTTTTTTTCCCTTGGCATATGAAGTAACTGATGATGTCTTTTGAGGCACAATTTTTCAAAATTTTTATAAAGTCTAATTTGTGTACTTTTTCTGTAGTTGCCTGCGCCATTGTTGTCACATCCAAAGAATCACTGCCAAATCCACCCTTGTGAAGCTTTTCCCCTGTGTTTTCTTCTAAGAGTTTAATACTTTTGGGTGTCAATATTGAGGACTAACAAAAGCTTTTTAACTTTCCTGGCACCATCTCAGTTATTGTTCTAATCCCAAGATGGATCATTTCAATTAAAACATTTAAAGAATGACCTCACCTGAATGTGTTTCAATTTGCTCTTCTCCCTTTCAAATCGACTTCCTCACTTACATAGTTTGTGTGAAAATGTCCACAAATAAAACATAAAATGAAATCAAACCTTTTCATAGACTCTTCATCTAAAATGGAATAGTAGATGTGGTGACATTTCATTTCCTCATCTTGAATTATTTACGTTTCTAGGTGAACCCATCCATTCTTCTATGTGTGTGTGTGTGTGTGTGTGTGTGTTTATTATCTGTCTACATATAATATAAACTCCATAAAATAAGAGATATTTACTAATTTACAAGTGAGACTTCAGGAATTAAGAATGGCTTGCCATTTTTAGTGTGTTATTATTATTCATATTGAGACGAACAGAATTGCCTCAGGGACATGGCCAGGGGTTTATAGTCCAGGAGAACTGCAGCATGACTCAGGTACATTTTACCTGCAATGACATCTATTGCAGGTCACCAGCGTCCATCACAATTGATTGGGGACAAGTGTAAGACAAGAATATTTGCAGTTTCCCCAGACTGACTCAGTTGCAGGTCCCGTGAAGTAGTGAGTCCTGAGACACCTCCAATAAGAGCTAGAAAAGGTATCATTTCATGAGGAGCTGCAGCCTACCCATTTTAGACAAATGGAGCAAAATTAGAGTATCACATCTTTTCCTTTCTCCTTCACAGAGTCTGGGTGAACAGAATAAAGGAGTTAGTGGAATATAAGATTCCAATTCTCTGGCATGAGAAAATGGACAAGGAAAGGAAGATTCATCTTTATCATATCTCAGACATGCTTGGACACAGAATCCAAGCACAAAAAACAAACACATACTTCTTCCCATCCACACTGGGATCCAGGGTCTTCTCCCTCCTCTCAGGCCAGAACTGAGTCTCCATTCCCTACTTGCAGTTACCAGAGATGAAGCCCAATTCTCCTCTGTCTCAAGCTTTGAGGGCCAGCTTTAGTGTGTTCACCATGGAAGAATGAAGGTGAGGTCAGAGGTTTGGGAAACGGTCAAGAATTGAGGTGAGAAGAGTGCATGGAGGCGTCGCCCTGGGGAGTTTGGTGCCCCCATATTCAGAGCCTGTCTGGTCCAGGACGGTTCCCAATGCTGTGAGCACCAACTCCGGATATTCTGGGCAATGACCCAAGGGACAGCCTCTTATGAATACTGGCTGTTTTCCTCCAGTGTCTGCTGTGAAACCAGGATGTACAACATGACCGCATTTAACCCAACTATGGGCTTAGTGTTTTGCTGTACACCAAATCTCAGTGTCCAATTTCCACTCTGTTTAGGTGGAAAAAGAAGGGATTTGTTCCCACACACCTCACTCCTGTGTTCCTCTTTCAGTCTCAAAGCTCAGATGAAAACAATGAGTGTCACTTATTGTCAATCCTCTTCCCTGCCTTTTCCACATTCATCAGTATTACCATTTACATTGAGACTAAAGATGGCCAATCACCGTTTTTCTTTGGAAAAATCAACCCGATGTTGTACCTACTTTTTTAGAGGTGGAATCAGCCTACCTTAAGATGCCGACTACATTTTACTGAATGGACTTTTGTGGATCCCCTCGATGTATATAGTGGGACTTTGAGGTATCATCTCTGTCTGTAGCAAATTAATATTTTCCCAAGGACAGAGTTTCCTCACAATTATTCGGGATGGACTAGTGGATATTGTGGTAGCGAGAACATGAAAAAAAGTCACAGCTGATACAACACACTGGAAACCCATCTGGCCAATCTCCCACAGACAGAATGTCTAGATTTCTTCACTTTCATGAAAATTGTTTCTTAGGAGACTTGCTTAATGTAGTTCTGCAGCCATTTCTGAGTTGTAATTACCTTATTTGCAACAGGTGAAATTGTTCTGATGTATTAATTTACAAGTATTTTTATGTCAGATTATTTGCAGCATAAAACATCTCAAAGATTTGACTGCCTAGTTTTCTGTGAACCAGTACTGGCTACAAAGTATTTTTGTGCAGATGGGCTAAGAAGGTACCTACACTACTTGAATTCCAAAGACTTGGAAAAGACCACTATATGAACATTCTGGCTGTTGACATTTGATTTGAACTTCTCTCCAGGGGCAAAAATTGAATTTTCTCTCTTAATGTATTAAGACTCCAAAACTATGTTCAAAATTTAAAATTAACAGCCAAGAATGTAATTTATACTGGAGTAGTTTGGAGATGTGACAGGTCAATGTATAAAAAGAAGCCTTGAGACTACCAAGAAGGCAAAAGTCACTATTTTAATCATGGCCTCAGAACAAAGCTGTGTTTGCAATAACATGGCATTTAAACAACTCATTAATAAAAATAGTAATCTATTAATTTCATAGTGTTTCAAAATTATTTCTTCTAAATTTGGAATATGTGCATTAAAGGACATATGAGTTTCAAAAGATTTAATAAAACATGTAACACAAAATTTTGACACTTCTTGAAAGATTTTAACTTTGTGGTTGTCTGTGTGGTGATACGTGTCATTGCTACAGAAAGTAACACTTTAAATTTGGGTTATTTTAGACATTTGGGTTCATATATATATAAAAATTAGATCACAAAGATTAACATAAGGCAAACTGTGGGAAGAAAAGCCAACAGTTCAAGAGAAGAAGCTGAGAAAACAAGTCAAAAGTTAAAGGAGAAGAAGAAAGAGAAGAGGAGGAAGAAAGAGAAGAAGGGGAGAATGAAGAGGAATAAAAAAGAAGAAGAAGGAGGACAAGGGAACATGAATAAGAACAACAACAACAACAAAAAGAAACCCACACACACAGGGTGGAACATTAGATGTAATAATGAGGAGAATGGAGAAGATACACAGTCCAAGATCCCGCAGAGACCTGGAAAGAATTTTATGTGGGTTGTCTGTGAGTGGGTCCAAGTGTGTCATTGAGAGTTCCCTTGTGTCCTTCACCTATCCACTTTGACCTTCAGAAAGTGTTCCCTGAATATTTAAGAAAGGTATTCCTTGTATATTTTGCAAAGCTCCCACAAAGACTTGGGTCTCCATGCATCTCAGATCCATGTTGGCAATGGTTGCAGTGGGGGTTGCAACCAGAATCCGTTCACTAGGAGTCTGCCATTCACTCCTGCCAGCTTCAGTCACGTTTCTTCCATTTCCACCTCTGTCCCTGCATGACTGAACCAGGTCTTAGCCAGCATTGCCAAAAGAGCCAGGAAGACCAGACCAGCCACAGCCATTCTGATGGAATTCTCCACAGTATACTCCTGGAGAACAGGGGCTGGAGGGTGGGGGTAAGATCAGAGACTTTTCCATGTGGGCTAGGCCCCTCCCTCCCCAGGAGCTCTGAAATGGAGCTATTTCCCCATCTCACCTTCACAAAATTCTTCCTATCCGGAACCCCTCTTCTCCCTATATCATCCTGAGCACCTTCAGAAGCCTTTTGCCACAAACAGAAATTTCTTTTGAAGATACACTTTTTTTTTTTTTTTTTACATTTCAAAATAGTTCCCAAACTAATTCTCCAAAGCAATAAAGAAGAAGAGGAGAAGAAGAAAGAGAAGAGGAGGAAGAAAGAGAAGAAGGGGAGAATGAAGAGGAATAGAAAAGAAGAAGAAGGAGGACAAGGGAACATGAATAAGAACAACAACAACAACAAAAAGAAACCCACACACACAGGGTGGAACATTAGATGTAATAATGTGTGTATTGCTGGGCAGGTTATGCGTACAAGGAAAGAAAGCACAGTGAGTCAGATTTGGCAGAGGAAACATATGTGGAAATTATATCATTTACTCTCTTTACAAAATTAAGTACAAAATGGAAAACACTGGTAAGGAAGAATGAGCTGTAGAGAAAGAAAACATCTGAGATGCTTGTTTCCAAGATGGCTGACTAAGTGCTTTTTTGGCATATGTCATCCTCCTGGAAGAATGAGCCGAATCCAGAACCAAAAACATGTGATCATCTCAATAGACATAAAGAAAAGCACCTTTAAAAAAATTCAACGTCCTTACCTGATGAAAACCCTCAAAAAATTAGGCATAGAAAGAATATACCTCAAAGTAATAAAAGCTATAGATGACATACCTAGAGTCAACATCATACTGAGCAGGGAAAAGTTAAAATGACTGACTCCTCTGAGAACTGGCACAAGACAAGGACACAGACATGCACCACTCCCTATCAATATAGTACTGGAAACCCTGTCAGAGCTCTCAGGCCACAGGAAGAAATAAAACATAACTAAACTAGAAAAGAGGAAGTGCAATTATTTCTATTGCTGATGCTATGATCTTAAGTCTAGAAAATCCTAAAGACTCTGAAAAAATTCTTATGATTGAAAAATGAACTCAGTAAAGTTTCAGAGTACAAAATCAATGTGTAAAACCCGGTAGCATTTCTCTACACCTAAAATGATCTAACTGAGAACCAAATCAAGAAGGCAACACAGGGTGGAACATTAGATGTAATAATGAGGAGAATGGAGAAGATACACAGTCCAAGATCCCGCAGGGTACATTTTACCTGCAATGACATCTATTGCAGGTCACCAGCGTCCATCACAATTGATTGGGGACAAGTGTAAGACAAGAATATTTGCAGTTTCC